GCCTTTAGTCTGCTGGTACCAAGAGTGTTGCATCAGGATAGGAGGAAGACTCATTAAAAACCTAAATTAAGGGAAAAAAGCAAAACAACCAACAGAACCTTACTTGCTGAAACTGAGGAAGATCTGAGGCATTTGCTGCAGATGGTCAAGGATTGTACCCTACGATATGAATTGAAGCTCAACATCAAGAAAACAAAGATTCTCACCACTGGGTCGATTGGCAGCATCATGACAGATGGTGAAGAGACTGAGACTGTTAACAGCTCCAGCTCTTTTTCCCTTTGTTTTGGTGCAATATTCTCTTCTGACATACATTTTAGACTTTTCTCTTTTTTCTGTCTATCCTCCCACAGCCATCTGGTTTTCATTCATTCAAGGTGTCAAACCTGTCCCTGAGATGGTCTTTAAATTCATGTGGGACAGACTCAAGGTCAAATTTTGATTCTTGTGGATTTGATTTGAACTTGCATATGAGTCTGTTCTACAATCAGCACCTGGCCTAGTTTTCACGGTTAATTCTGAACTTCTCCAATGCTTTCTTCCACAGATGTAATCAATCTGATTCCTGTGCATACTACCATGTTAAATCCATGTGTGTAGTCTGCATTTATGTTTCTTATAAAAGGTATTTGCTATGAACAAATTATTGATTATGCAAAATTCTATCATTCTATTCCCAGTCTCATTTCTGTCACCAAGTCCATGTTTTCCAACTACTGATCCTTCTTCCCAGTTCCCAACTTTTGCATCCCAGTCATCCATTAGTATTAATGCATCTTGGTTACAAGTTCACTTGATTTCTGACTGCAAAAGTGGGTAAAAATCATATATTTCTTCCTGGTTGGCTCTGGTTGTTGGTGCACTAATTTTAATGACAGTGGTCTTAACAAGTCTTCCTTGTATGCGTACGGATATTATTCTGTCACTCACAACATTGTATTTCAATCTAGAAAAAGCCTTTTTGGGGTGACCATGGAGGACATTATGCTGAGTGAAATATCTCAGTCACAAGAAGACAAATTCTTCATAATGCCACTATTACAAAACAGGACTGACATGGAGGTTGGGAGAAAAGTAAGAAAAGGGGGGATAAATAATGTACATGGCATTGAAACAGACGAGGGAGAGAACTGTATAAAAGGAATACATGATTAGGCATTATTGGTATGACAAGAGTCCAGAACAAGAGCTGCATACTGAAGTAGGGAGCTGAAGGGAAGAATGGCATAACAATGAAAGACATTTTTCCCCTCCCCAAAAAAAGGTGAACATTGGGGAGGGGACAGGGAGGAAAATATGCAATAATAAATAAGTGGAAATCCAAGTTTTTTATAAACTTACAATAAAATCTTTTAAAAACCCCTCTAAAAAGGCCTTTTTAATTATGAAAGTGACTCCATTTTTCTGACCTTTTCAACTCTAGTGTAGTAGTAGATCATATGATCATCTGATTCAAAATGTCCCCTACCAATCATTTTGCCAATACTTAATATGTCAATATTTGTGTGTTCCATTTCTTTCTTAATGATGTCCAATTTTCTTTCATTAATGCTTCTCACATTCTATGTTCCAATCACTAATTTGTGTTTACAACTTTTCCTCTTCCTTTGTGTTTCCAAATTTGAGGGCTCAGCCTCAGTTGCCATATCTGTTATTCTACTCTATGTGTGCTCTATTATAGAAGAAGCTATTTTTTTTTAGAAAAAATAGCATGATCATGTTTAACAAATGGCATAATACCATTCTGGGTAAGATTAAATTTCATGTGCTAAAAAAAAAGAAAGAAACAAAATTTCATGTGCTGTTGTTGTTGTTATGTGCCATCAAGTCCCCTGCAACTCACAGTGATCCTATGTATATTAACTCTGAACCCTGCCCTATCTTGAGCCAATCTCATCATCTCCGACAGATTTAA